GCAACAACACGAAAATTTGCCTTCCCGCTCTATCAACCGGTGGTGTTCGCAAATCAATCTGCTTGGCAAAAAAGCTGTCATGATTGGTACGATTTTGGCATTCTTCTCGTTGTTCTCGTACGCAATGGCAGCAAACAAGGAGCGCACTTTCATCATGGTGAAACCCGATGGAGTCCAGCGTGGACTCGTCGGCAAGATCATCGAGCGCTTCGAACAGAAGGGCTTCAAATTGGTGGCTTTGAAGTTCACGTGGGTAAGTGTAGCACCTGGCGGAGGTGGTCTGTAATCAAATTAACTGTGCTTAAAAATTTGGGGGTAGATTGGAATTTCGGACTTTCCAGTGCAATTTGTTCCGAAGGGAATATATTTTTGAGGTTAGGTTTGGTCAGGGTATTTGCCACATGCATAAACTTTTAATTTCAAGGTGATTAGGGACGGATTTACTAAATATGGATATGCATATGATTTTATTTGGCTTGACTGTTAGTTAACATTATTTTATATTTTTTCTTACAGGCATCGAAGGATCTTTTGGAAAAACACTATGCCGATTTGTCATCTCGCCCCTTCTTCCCCGGTTTGGTCAACTACATGAGCTCCGGTCCAGTGGTTCCCATGGTGTGGGAGGGTTTGAATGTTGTGAAGACCGGCCGCCAAATGTTAGGTGCTACTAACCCAGCTGACTCCTTGCCCGGCACCATTCGTGGCGATTTCTGCATCCAGGTTGGCCGCAACATCATCCACGGCTCCGACGCTGTTGAATCGGCTAACAAAGAAATCGGTCTTTGGTTCAACGAGAAAGAGTTGGTTTCATGGCAACCAGCTGCTGAGGGTTGGGTATACGAATAAGATTTAAATCGCTTACAATCGTAAATACACCCTCATAAATGTTATTAAGTAAAAAGTACATTTCTGCCACTGAATTCCAATAAAATAAAGCGAAGCTAGTTAATTATCAAGTTTTATTTATTTATTTGGAAGGTTCTGTTATTATATTGTTAAGCAAGGGAAAGAGATTAGTTTGAAAACGTGACAAACGGAAATGAGCTTTACTAGTGTTTTCGGTTTCTTGTTGGTATATAAAATTATACAATTGTTATTTATAGATAAATGTAACAAGTGTACTATGAAACAGTCACGTGGCTTTATATTGCTGCCACTCTCTAAGTGCATTTTCACGGGGTAGAACCCAACCGCAAGGTATATGTGTGCCTTGTTTGCTACGCGTCAAATAGCTATCCCAGATGCGACGTATTCGTATGAAGTCACCCCTGTTTTGTTCATCATAATAGGAATGTTCAACCGGGCCAAAAAATACATCATTCCATTGGTCCTCCAAATGCCTTTCTTTAGTGCTTTCAGGAGCATTATATTTCAATACCTCGCTCCGAGTGGAACCCATATCAACTTTCCTAAGGAAACGTTGGGAATCGTGTTTCAGCAAACGAATTTGGAGTTTCTTTGTGATCGTTGAAGTTAGACAATTTGAGGTTTCGGTATGAGTTCTTGCAGATGCTTCATAACTTGGCAAAACTGTGGTAGATGCTATAGAAGAGGGCATCTGCAACACGTTTTTACTAACAACGTGCGTTTTAATTTCTTTCACTTTCGACTTTTTGATCTTACGCCTTTCTTTTCTTTTCTTAATCGTTTTAGCAAGACGTTCTAGTGGAGATTTTTCAACTACCTTGATTAATTCATCAGTTTGCTGCATCAGACTGTCGATATTAGATTCAGAAGTTACAGTCTCGCATTGCAACGCTTCCATCTTCTTGATATTACTCAAAATATTTTGAATATTACATTTTAATTGCGAAACTGGTAACAATTTTTCGGTTGCTCTAAACGAATGAGTCATATTTGCGTGCTACGCGATGACGACTTCAATTCGATGCTTAATTTATGTGTTTTTAGCTAACAATAAAATATCTTTTTAATAAATTAGTGAATTGATGGCAAATATATAGTATAAAATGGAACTTTTTTAATTGTTTTCTTTATTGCTAGTCTTTCTGCACAAGCACCTCTTTAGCATCGTTTACCACCTGCGTTGCGGTCTCGTATTCCTTTGTTTCCTTGAGCTCTGTCTCGTCTTGCAGAAAATTTTCCAGGGCTTCTAATTCCTTTTTCAATCTGCAAGAAAAAGCGCACAGCTGCTTATTTTCACGTTACTTACAAGTGCCATCTGTTTGTTAATTGCTCACCTGCGCAGAGTGTCTGGCAGCATCATCAAACACTCCGAGATCACCTCTTCTTGCTTCTTCAAAACATGCTCATCAGCACCTTCACCTTTGAATCTTTCCAGTCGATTTTGCTCGGTTAGCACCTCCTTTTCACAAACTGTCTTCTCCTTGGTTAAACGCTTTACAACGCCCGTTTTGATCGTCAATTGTCGCAAGCGTGGATCGGCCATCAAGTCTGCTTTTGGGTGTCTAAATGGTTTTAAATCTGCTTTGCTAGATTGAAATCAATTGATATGATCCAAGCTTGTATATTTTCGCCAAAGAGTGAGTCACAAATTCAGCCGGCTTCCGCCGTATTTTTTGTTTTTGTATGAGTATGAGAACGCAAATGTCAAATTTGTTGACAGCGGATGTAAATAAAATAAGAGAGCGGTAACGAAAGAGACGTTCTCTGCTGCAAAAAAAAAATATTCACAATTGTTGAACGGAAATGTATTAATTTTGGTAGCATATCCTAATTTCCTCTTCCTCTCTGGAATTTTAGCTACAATCAGCGTGCGTATATAATTAGAATGCGTTGTACATAAACAAATTAGGCGGAAAACTAAATTTTTTTTTTACTTTTTCTTGCAGCATGGTACAATGGCATAATTTTTATGAAAGCTCCTTTTTAGTAGCTTCGATAATGAGCAGCTGAGTTTAGTAAAAAAAAGCTACAATGTATTGCGGAACACCTGTTTATGAACAAAAGTGGAAAAGGTGTAAAATAGTGTTTAGCAAATGTAGCGAAGAAGTTCTTAAAGTTAAACTATTAATATCCAAAAAAGTTTGTCCAAACAGGTGTGATCACAAATCTACTGTATACAGGCAATAAACGCCAGCAGGTTTGTCACGGAATATTTGGACTCCTTACGAATTCAACAGTCGTGAACCAATGTATAAAAGCCAGGTAAGGGATCTAAATCATAGTAACAGCAAATGGTAGCAGTTTAGGCGACACTGAAAGTTTTTGATAGATCCATAAACACGTCTTTGCCGCGGCCTACAACTATACATACATACATATCGGCACCTGAAATGCAAAAAGACGTAACAACATCGTAACTGAAATGGAAAAAATAGTGACTAATAAGTGACTAATGAAATCCATCATATCAATCAAAAACTGAATTTTGCATTTTTTATTAGCTACGACTTTTTGTATTTCACCGACGATGTTTGTTACGTCCTTTTGCATTTCAGGTGACGATATGTACTTACATACATACAATCCGCGGGAATTCGCCTGCACATCGATTAGTCAACCTTGTTTTTCTTCGAAGAATGCCTCTAAAACACATGTTCCAGCTTACTGAGGAACACAAGTTTTACACATTTCGCAAGTTACCTATTAGCGCAAATTCGCATGCGGTGCACGACTGTTTTTGGTTAAGCCTTCTTTATTTCTCAATTCAAATTTTAAAATGGTTCAATTAAATCGTACAATTAAAATGTTTCATCTTTATTTAAGCAACTCCAGCTTTTACATTTATTATTATTTATTTTCATATATATTTTTGGATTTTTCGTTTTTCATTTTAATAGTACACATTCACTGTCTATTCATGCTTTGCATTTATGCATTCAAGTGATTATTTTTAATGTGGGTGTTTCATTAAAAGTGTGTGTGTGTGTGTGTGTGTGTTTGTTTGTGTCACTGCAGTTTATCGAGTGTTTTTCGTGTTCATTTTGATTACATTTTGGTAATCAGATTAGCCATGGTAATCCAATGCCGGGTGGTCCGCTTGCACACATACATATTATGTATGTATATGGTACAACCAGGACATCGATAACGGAGTTTGTTATATAATTCTCCAATGGGTGCTTGCCCATGTGTATGGATTGTGGGTGGAGGGATGCAAAGTGTGGATAACTTCTAAAATTGTATGGTGTTGTTGTTGTCAGAGGTTGCTTGCATATGCGTGTGTGTGTGTGCATGTGTACTTTTATGAGTTGGATAGGAAATTACGAGTATTACCAACTTGAATTGGATTTCACAATATAATATAAAAAAAAAAAACTTAATAATAATTATAAGAATTAATAACAAAATGAATTCAATTCGATTGAGTCTCACAGTTTGGTGTTGAAATACAGTACAATACGTAGTAAACGCTATAGGAAATTTATGAATTTGCGTAAGTACAACTACAGAGTACACTTTGATGATGACTAGCACAAATATAATGCCGGTATATGATAAGGGATGGATAGTGATGAATGAGCGAAGCTGCGAACGCGCATCATTCGTGTATTTATGATTTCGAATAAATATATTAATTATAAAATGTATAAGCGTATATTGAATGCGAAAATGTTGTGATTTCGTGCGATTGATGATTGCTTTGCGATATTTTTAGCGCGGGCGGCGATTAAGTCCGATTTCCTGCGAAAGGATTTACGATGACGATATAGATTAAGAAAGACGTAAATATAGTATATAATCGAAAATAATAAAAATGTCAGTTTAGAGTTGCTACACCCTAGACGGTGAGCTGCTTCGCCTGTGGTTGCGTTTAGTGTGGAAGTGATTGGCCTAATCGCTGTGAAGATTGGAGATGAGGATGTAGTGAATGCTGTTGATATTTGGTTTGTTTTTGTTTTTGTTTGTGTTGTAATTGAATTCTTTTTGGTTTTCATGTTATCAATGTCTTTTATTTTGCTTTTAGCTACTTGCTTAGGGAATGATGCCTTCACGCACGACTCAATCGAAGTTCGGGGATAGGGCAACATGGCATTGGTCGATGCTAATGATGTTATTGCTGATGATTTCCGCATGGAGATGGATTTTTTGCTAGTGTTTGTATGGTTGTTGACGCACAAAGTTTGTCCTTTGTAGGTGAAGAAGGTGTAGTGATTAATGAGGAAAATTTGCGATTTATTTTTTGTGGTAATGTTATTATTATAGTTGTTGTTGTTGTTGTTGTTGTAGTTGTCTATGTTGTTTGTGTTGTTGTTGATGTTGATGTTGTTGCTCACATTGAATGTCATAGCTTTACTATCATAATAATTACTTATCATATTCATATTCATATCATTGATAAGAGTAAATTGTATTATTCTTTTAAATTTATGCTTATTAAATGTTTTCTTTTGAGATTTATGTAGTAGTAATTTTGCTGTTGCTGCTACTGTAGTTGTTGGAATTGACGACCACGACGACCACGACGACCATGACGACCATGACGACCACAACTCCAACGACACCGATGACAACGACATTGATGGCGATGACAATAATACAAATTGTATTTTTATTTGCTGTATTTGCATAATTATTTGTTGTTGTGAGTTAACGTTCTGCTGGCACTCTAGTTATTTCTTCTTCTGTGCCTTCTCGGCGGCTTTTGTGACTTTACCCGAGGTTGTCTCTTTAAAGGTGACCGACTTTATGACCCCCACCGCGACCGTTTGCCTCATATCACGTACAGCGAAACGTCCGAGCGGCGGAAACTCTTGGAAACTTTCAACGCATAACGGCTTAGTGGGCACCAACAAAATAATGGCCGCATCACCAGACTTAATAGCTTTCGGATCGGTCTCGGTGGTCTTGCCAGTACGGCGATCGCATTTCTCTTTGATCTCGGAAAATTTGCAAGCAATATGAGCGGTGTGACAATCCAAGACCGGGGTGTAGCCGTTGGCGATTTGACCAGGATGATTAAGTACAATCACCTATTAAGCGAAAAGTGACAAGTTATTAGTGAGAAATACGTGCATACATGTGAAAAATAAAACAAAATTTCAGCAGGGCTGTGTCAGCATAAAAACACATTCAAATATTACGTAAGCAGAGTTTTAGTCATTTTTAAGCCCTCCCTCTCCCTTGCCAGAAGAAGTAGGAAAAAAAATAAATGTTTTTCCCAAGGACGGTAATCACTGTAAGTTAAATCATTTTAATCAGCATTTAATCAATATTTCAGATGTGTTTTATTTGCGCAAAAATAATGGTAAAAGTTGAGTTTAATTTTTTTTTTTATCACAAAAATTGATTTTACGAGTTTTTGCGACGCTCATAACATGTTCATTTTTTACATTAAAACTTAAAAGATTATGATTATTTTCCGTCCCTGGTTTGGTCAATGTAACAGATCGCTTTTAAGTTACGTCAAGTTAAGACTTCATAAATAACAGCTTAAAGTTCACTCACCTGAGCGGTAAAATCGGCAGCACCCTTGGGTGGGCAATTCTTAGAGTCACCAGCTACATAGCCACGTCGCAGCTCCTTTACCGAAACGTTCTTCACATTGAAGCCAACATTATCGCCAGGCAAAGCTTCAGAAAGTGCCTCGTGATGCATTTCCACAGACTTGACTTCAGTCACCAAATTGACTGGTGCGAAATTAACCACCATACCTGCGAATATTTCAAAAAGGATTTCATCAGCCAGTGAATTCTTCGCTCACTTGAATTCGCAACCGAAAATCTTTGCTCTCAATTTCTAAGCATCGATTAATTCGCGAGAACATACAGACGCAAGCGTACCAATTTGCATGCGAATGCATACGAGTGCATTTGCACTCGGTTTCGTGTTGCCCGGATGCGGAATCGAAGCCGAGCGAGCAGGCGGCTTTTCAGCATAAAAGTATGCAGCAAAATTTGCCGAAATATGCAGCAGCAACAACAAAAAAAACAACAACAAGCCAGTAAACATGACGAGCCACATATGCAAACATACATACGTGCACACAAACGAGCGCAAGCGACCCACTTTTGCAACTTCCTTGCGCTCCCATCCACAACAACCTACAGCGACGGCATTCGTACTCAACTTTCCAGCCGCCCACTCACCCACATACATATGTACATTGGTTTTACATACATCCTATGCATGCAGCCTTATACTAGATGCAGCAATCATATCCGGTGCCTGGACGTAAGCACACACCCACACTCATGAAACGCGCACACACACACACACACACACAAATAGCACACATGACTCAACAACACAAACATAGAGCTTACTTACTCACCTGGCTTCAGTATACCAGTCTCCACACGTCCCACTGGCACCGTACCGATACCGCCAATCTTGTAAACGTCCTGCAATGGCAGACGCAATGGCTTGTCGGTGGGCCGCTGTGGCGGCATAATTGCGTCCAGCGCATCAATCAAACACTTGCCCTCCACTTTGCTCTCCTTGCGCTCCACAGTCCAACCCTTGAACCATGGCATCTTCTCAGATGGTTCAAGCATATTATCACCATGCCAGCCGGAAATGGGTACGAATGCCACCGACGCCGGATTATAGCCGATCTTCTTGATGTAGGATGATACCTCCTTCTTGATTTCCTCATAACGTGTCTCGCTATACGGTGGCTCAGTGGAGTCCATCTTATTAACGCCAACAATCAATTGCTTGACGCCCAACGTGAATGCGAGTAGAGCATGTTCACGCGTTTGGCCATTCTTAGAGATGCCGGCTTCGAATTCGCCAGTACCGGCAGCAACAATCAATACCGCGCAATCGGCCTGCGAAGTACCGGTAATCATATTTTTGATGAAATCACGATGTCCAGGCGCATCGATGATGGTCACATAGTATTTCTGCGTCTCGAATTTCCACAAAGCAATATCAATGGTTATGCCACGCTCACGCTCCGCCTTCAGTTTGTCCAAGACCCAGGCATACTTGAAGGAGCCCTTACCCATTTCCTGGGCCTCCTTTTCGAACTTTTCAATCGTACGCTTGTCAATGCCACCACACTTGTAAATCAAATGGCCAGTTGTGGTCGATTTACCGGAGTCGACGTGACCAATTACAACAATATTAATATGCGTCTTTTCCTTACCCATCTTGAGTGTCTACGCTTCGTACGCACAGCAGCTTTGAATTCTTCCGGCGAGATTTCGTAGTATTAGCTGGGATTTATAAAGCTATTACGTGTCAGTTGGAAAAGATGTGCGAATAAAAAGTGGAAGTAAGTGACGGAATGCGCCAAGGTGTATGTGAAGTGTGTTTTACACTTGTCGTTGAATCGGTAAGTTTAAATGGAGGTGTCAGAATTGTAAAGTGTTCGAGGGTATTGAGGGCATGGATAGTGGGTGGGAGGGAGCAAGGCGTGTGGGTGGGGGATGTGGGAATATTTGTACATACATATGTATGTACATATACATACATAAATATGGAAAAAATGGGCGAATGGAAATGCGTTCGGAATCATGGATACTTACTTACATATATTTTTTCGGTATGTACACTTACTTGCTTTGTTACCGGCTCTGAAGGAAGCAAATCAAATTTCCTTTGTCCGCACAGTCGTCGAAAGTTAAAGATTAGGGAAAACTCTGCAAAACAATGAGACAAACCAGAATAATTTCATTAGAATCAAGAACTTAAAGGTGCAAGCTGGATTGAGTTGGGGTAGGTTGGGTTGGGAGGGGGGGGGTGGTGGTGGATTACGAGGCGGGGAGTGGCTGTTATTGGCTGCAAAAGTTACACACAGCTAATTAACAGTAATCATTTTTCAACTCGAAATACATCTTCCACAACATCAGATCAGCAACCAAATATATAACTCAACTGCTTTAAATTTTTTCATCAGCAAATATGCTTATACTTCCGGCAGCTCAATGGCAGCTTCGAAAGAAAAAAAATCACTTCACCAACCACTGCCTATTACACAATTTCTAACAGCGAAAATGTTACTGCCACAAATTGAATTGAAAAATCACAGCATATTTTAGTTTTGTTACACTTTCCTCACTATTTTACCACAATTCTCAATACTGTGTGAATTTTTAATTACTAATTACCGTCGCTCACAGTGAGGGCACTGAAAATTTTGCTGCCTGTACGTCTATGCACCGCTACAACACAACCGAATGTGCAAAAGTTTCGTCTTTTCTCTATATGAAAAATCAATAACCATCTCTGACGATGGAGTCATATGTCTGCACTCCAACCACCCGGCCGCCAGACGCGCACCGCCACCACACGTTACCCGGCCCAATTGCACATCCCCAAAAAAATATGCATAGTGTAGTACTCGTACATGTATGTACATATGTATGTATGTAGTAGACGTCTGCAGGCCTGAGTGCAGCAAAATATCAAAGAAATGGCTGGGTGTAGGGCGCAGTAGGAGAAGTAGGGGTGTAAGTGCGGTGTGGCTGACGGGAAGATATTATGCGACATGGTTCTGCATTGGATTCGTTTCTGCATTGGAAAGTGCGTTCTCATTCGTACCATTCAGCGAACCGTTCAGTTATCTGTTTGCCCGCCTGTCTTTCGGTATATCTAGGCGTTCTCAATAGCAGCGTATGCGCTCGACTGTATGCTCGCCGCTTTTGAGTTGCTCTGCGAGCTGTGTGCTTCTGTGCTTGTGCAGAATAGAATTGTGGGCTGCCGTGTGGCCGATAGCTTTCTGGGGCACATACATATGTACATACCTACATTCGGGGGTATGTTTCTACATTAGAACGGATCGGCCCCCATAAAAAGTTTGAAAACTGATTTTTCAGCTGATTTTTGCGCCAAAAAATTGTCGTATTTGCTATATCCTAAAACAGCAAGAATGCAATTATCTTCATAACTGTTTTACTTACGAGCCGATTTTAATTCGTTTAAAATTACTTTTGAGGAATATAGCTCGCTTTCACATTATAAAATAATTGATAATTTACAAGTTTTTTTTTTTTAATTTTATGGCGACCTTTGAACCCTGGTAAAACTAGATTTACATGAGGCAATTTTCTAGGCGATTCAACATTGCTCAAAAAAAAAACCGCTCGTGTAAATGGCGACTCAAAATGGCTGTCAAAAAATCGCCTCATCTGAAGTTATTTAAAATTGTAACTTAAAAATATACATATTTCCAGCGATATACATACGTATGTATTTATGTATCACTATTTAGTAGTAAATATTCTCATAACAACCGGATAAACGGTTAACATCCGTTCATTTAGTTATACGGACATTCGTATTTTCTAAACAGTGTTTGACCGGATTCCGTAAAATTGTTCTCAGAACTATCGAAACTATTGGGTTGCTAAACAATTAATAGCAGACTTCATTAAAACACAAATAATTGTTACATATTAGTATTTTTAGGCTGCGTTTCATTCCGGGTAATCCCATTGTCACAGCCGGAATAAACAGAATGCGTTTGAAATATATGTTAACATATCATCAGGAACGTTCTAAAGAATATGTAAACAAAAAAGTTTATTCCAAACGTTCAGAATGAATAAAGAAATGCAGCCTTAGATTCAAAAATCTTGATATTCGGTTAGTGTCGAATATTCGGATATACGGATTTTCAAATCAGACATTCGAAATTTAGAATTTTCGGATTAAACGGATAATCAAAAAATTTGGATAGAGCTCCTGGGCCTAGTAAATATCAACTTTTTTCTTTCGTATGAGGACCCGGCCTAATATACCAGTATTCATATTTTACTTTTTTTCGCTTGCTTCTGTAAATAATGACACACATAAATACATCATATTTACTACATACATATGTACTTAGTCAGAAATCAATTAAAGTGTTATGA